GGGGGGGGGAGGGGGCTAAACCGCAAAACTCTGCGTGCGTCCTGTTGTTGTTGTGGTGGTGGTGGTCGGCAGGTGCTGCCCCAACACGCGCGCCGCCGGGAGCGCCGGGCTTGGTCGCCATCGCCACGACATGATCACGAGGGGGCGCACATGATGATGCCCCCCTGCTCAAGCAACAAGCGGGGAGGAGGAATGCGCGCGCGCCGCATAGGTCGTGCCGGCGTAATTCAAATTATTTCCCGGTACGGCGAATATGATTCACCTCTCCGCTGCTGCTGCTGCTGTTATTCAAAGATGAAATTGATTCCCCGAACAAGAGAAGCGGGAGTCACGATTTGGAACGGAACGAGATGGACCGCCGCAGCTGTGCGGCTATGGGGGGGCGCTGAGGCCACGGCAGCAGCGGCCGAGGGGCCGAGCCTAAAGGCCAAGCCGGGCCGGCCAATCTGCGACGGGTATTCATTCCTTGCCATAGTAATTTCTTTACCGATATTGCTTTGGATATTGGGGATGGAGGTGGTGGTCCGATGGCCAAGGCGTCGTCATCATCTCCGCGCAGATCCGTGAGACTTTATAGGAAAGAGGTGGTGGTACGGTGGTACGTTTCGTTCACTGAACCTTCGTTTTAGCTTGGCTGCTAGCTGCTGCTACTCGCGGGTACAAGGTTTTATCAAACGGTCTGTCAAAGAATCTCTCCTTTTGGGATTCCCGCACACCTAAAGATTCCACGAGGCGCCTTGCCTGGCGTTCACCTCTACCCGTCCCGTGCCCCGACTCGGCGCCGCGGAGGCGAGCAGGCGCTCGCAGGGCGGGCCGCCCGCTCCACGCGGCCGCTGGGCGGGTCGGCCTACCCAGCGCCTTCCAGAGCCACCGCAACGTCCCCGGCCCACCGGCGGCGGGGCTGAGGACGCTCACTCTCTGTGGGCGACGACGAGTGCAGAACACCGTCCAACACTTGAGTGGTACTGTACTGTAGTATACAAACTACGGACGCGCACTGGTTTACTTTTGTTATTTTTCCACCCACCCGAACACAGGGGCGTCGGAAGTGGGGGGCAGGGGGGGCCAAATGCCCCCCCTAAATCGGCTGCGGGCCCTTTCAGCCCGCGAAGCAGGCCCTCTCTTAGACTGCGAAGCGGGCCCTTTAGGTGCTTTTGGACCTCCGAAACGGGCCTGATCAACCGACAAGAGAAGCGAAAACTTAGAAAAGGGGCCCCGCGAAGCACTGGAGGTGCCCTTAGGCAGACCCCAGTGGACAAAAAAATGTCCAAGCCATGTCAAGTCAAGTCAATTCACAAATATGATGTCATTTTAACGACATTTGGAGTCAGAATGATGTCAAAATGACCTCAAATTGACTGAAAATGACGTCAAAATGACATCATATTTGTGAAATGACTTGACTTGACAAGACTTTGACTATATTTTGTCCACTGGGACAGTAAAAGCACTAAGAGATAAATTGCAATTCATTTGAAATATCATTTTGAACACAACTTTGCAAAAACCTGCATTTTGGTCATTTTTAAAAAGATAAACGCTTTGCGAAAAACCGGGCCCTTTTGGAAAAATCCGGGCCCTTTTGATATTCCGCCCCCCCTGTAAAATCAACTTCCGGCGCCCCTGCCCGAACATATTTAGAATGCGGTTCGAGGGGTCGTCAACTTCAATATTCCTCCGTACACGGACTGATATTACCTCAAACATTACACCAATATTAGCTATATTACTGGTAATATTACCTCGATATTACACATTTTTTAAGTATTATGACGTCACAGCTTGAAAATTGGCTCAATATTACCAATATTATTTGTAATATTCAATATTCCTCCGTACACGGCCAAGGAGAGTTGACGACCCTCGGATGCGGTTTAGGATCGGCCAAGATCGGCATTGTTCTTCGACGAGTAGTTTATCCTTTACCTTATTTCTATATCCAACCACCCTCCCCGGCGGTATGGTGTGACGTGGGTGGAGCCGCCCGTATGGCCAGGGGAGCCCCGCTGCCATAATTAACGACGCGATGGCGCCTTGCGCGGCCGGCCGCCTCCTCGGCTCCCCGCCGCTGCTGCTGCCCGCTTCCGAATCGGAAGCCATAAATCGAGCTGGCTGCGGCCGCCGCCGCGCGCGAGCACCGTTTGTCTTTCGGTTGGCTAATGACGACAGAACGCGCCCAAAACACTCAATTTCGCTATTTACCGTTCTGTATAAATTTTCCGCCGCCGCCGCCAACGACGACACCGCTGTGTCCGTCGACTCCACGTCGTGTTGGGTGTGTTTCAGTTTTGACTTGACAAAGACGGTCCGCGGCGATCGTTATATACGACCCATCATTTTATCGTTTCATTATTTTCCATAAAAGAGCGATCTATCCTTTCTCCCGGCGGCCGCGCAAGGGAAGGGTGATTGATTTAGGTGCGCAGCCTGCCTGCTTCTTCTTTGTGGTCGAAAAGGCGAGCGGCGGCGGCGGCGGCGGGGCGCTCACTGAACGCACCCTGCCAGTCTGGCGCAGCGGGCCCAGCGGGCCGAGCGGCACGGCGTGGGCAGGTAATCGCCCGATAATGAACTCCACGACGACGACGACACGACGCGCCGCCATCATGATCAAAGTTTGCTCGAAACCGACTATAATTGTGTCGAACCGTGCCGTCCCCATCTACGGATATACGAGGTGGTGGTATGCCAGTCCGCTTATGGATTGATATGCTGCCCTAATGATGCCCCCCGCTCTGATTTTCATTTTCCAGGGCGATGCGGCACAGTTTGTTTTTTTCACGGGGCTTTATTTTAGGTGTACAATACAGGTGTGCTGGACGAGTTTGTTTGCTCCTGGTAGGTTGACTCTGTACGGGGGCAACGTCAGGAGGAGCTAGCTAGCGCACCCCCAGAGTGCGTCGAGCGTACAGTACAAGGGTTAGAGGTTGGTACCTCTGCTCCGGCTTGGCGCGTCTTTCTCTCTCTCGCTCGCTCTTCCTCTTCCGCTCCGCTAACTGCCGCCTTTGTGAGTAATTGCGAATCCAAGTCAAACAGCGCTGTGTGCTCGGTACACCGACGGTACACGGACGCGGTACTCCGGGGCGCGCTGGGGCGCACGCACGGGCCCCGCTGCTGCCCTCCAAGGTTAGGTCCACACTCGCGTGTTGACCCTCCTTGATCGAAAGTCGCCAAACAATGCGCGGCCCGTAGCTGTAATCCTCGTTGCGGAGCATCCATAGATGTTGATGTTGATGCTCCACATTGAGTCGTGGCCCACATTTCGCGCGCGGGCCGCCGCCCGGCAGCCGTCCCGTCCTCCCCCGAGCGCCGAGCAGGCGGAGGAGGAGGAGGCTCTTTAGCGCCGGGCCGATCCCACGTCCCCTTTTCCCTCCCCTCTTTGCCCCCTCTCTTGTCCGTCCTCTGGCCCCGCCTCCCGCTCCGACTGCTGCAGTCAGAGTAGACTTTGACTTGAGAGCGTGCCGTGACCATATCACTTCTTTACTATGCCCAGGAGGGTGTTCACGAAGTAGTCGAACGTGATGGTCTGAAAGTGCAAATGCATGGAGTCAGGCATGACGTCTGGGGTGGTGACGCAATACTAAGCTCTCCGAGGGACGGTGGAGTATACTGTGCCTCGGGCAGGTAGTGGAAGAGCTTCTCTCTGCGCGCGGCCTCGTCCATGAGCAGGTGGTCGTACTGCGCATCGGCCTCGGTGTCCGTGTCGGCGGGCAGCAGCACGCGCAGGACGCTGTGGGCCTCGGCCGGGTCCAGGGCCTCGCCTGCCGGCCGGTGCCGTGTTGCGTGTTTCTCAATTTAGAAGTAGAAGTCTCTCACTACTTTCGTGACGTGCTGGCTTTACCTCTGTCGAGCAGGATAGACAGGAACTTGTCCTTGGTCATGGCCATCTCGTCCGTGCCCTCTACCGGATATGCAAATGCTTCGAACGCCTCTCTCAGCTGCGCCATCGCCATGCCGAACACGGGCTTGTGGTTGACGTACAGCTTGACCAGATCGGACGAGGTGAGGGTCTCGCCACACCGCTGCAGCACCTCGCGCACCATTGTGTCGATCTGTTACCGTCAGTGTTATGTACTTCAACCTCGAACAAGCAATGTTACTTGATTTTTATGTACTTGCGGGGCACCGTGCCTGTGACTGGGACGGGAAGAAGCCCAGGGCCCGCATGACGTCGGGCAGCTCGCAGACGGGCAGCATGTCCGTGATGAAGCGCGGCTCGGTGCTGAGGGTGCCCTGGTGCAGCATCTGCGCGTAGCAGAACATGTCCCTCATGGTCTGCACCAGCCAGCCCTCGCGGCCGCCCTCCACCGACAGCAGCCACGGCTCCAGCGCGCCCTGCTCGCCGCCCTGCAGCCCGTCCTCGAGGAGCGTGCCCACGGCCCTGCAAACAGGGAGTGCTGCCGAGGACTTGCTCCAGGCCTTGCGTCTATTCCCCAAAGTCGTACTTACTCTTGGTTTATGCGCCACATGAGCACACTTTGGTCCTGCGCGCCGCACGTGAACACGAACTCCTCGCACGGCGAGATGACGAAGGACATTATCTGTGCAGAGTAGCCAGACACTGCCGCGGGGCACTTCGCTTTCACTTCAAACGTACACCTATTTTTATCGATTTTCCTGAGTTGTTTTTAATTTCTTCTACTTTTAATTTCTTAACTTCTTCCGAGGGTACACTGATTTGTGTGTGTAGTACCCTCGGAGTTGCTCGGCGTGCGTGCATACGTGGTGCCTGGTTTGTCATACCTTCACGGGGTGCACGATCATGGCGACGTTCTTGAAGGGGTTGCCGTCGGGCGGCAGGCACTGGAGGCCCAGGCGGCGCTGCGTGGCGTACACGGCCGTGGCGGGGGCCGTGGCCGCGGGGCCGCCGATGGTCTGGGAGGAGCAGCGCGTCGTACACATCCCAGAAGTTCTGGACGAGGCGGCTGGGCAACCTACTCATACCTGGATGGTGCTGACGGTCGTGTGCAGCCGCGGGCCCTGCGCTGTGCCGCACACCTTCCGCGTTTTCAAGTCGACCAGGCGGTACTTGAACTGCGTTCCAGAATTTTTGTAGGGGAAAATGAAACACATGAGTTGAAAAATAACTGTTGAATTTTAAAAACTTGACACGTTGATGTTGTTTCGGCCACCTCAGACGTAGCGATGAGGAGGACGGGCTCGGCACCCTCGCCGTCCCCAGGGCACCAGGTGACGCTGGACGGCACCCCCGACCGCTCGATGCGGTCCAGCCTCGTCACCAGCAGGGTGCTGTTGAGGCTGCGGGCGAACGTGAACGTCTCGTTATCTACATAAGGACACGCGGAGTGTAAAGAGGCTCGCGGAGGGGACGACGCCCACCTGTGCGCGACGTCGTACTCGACCAGGACGTGGTCCTCGCCGAAGGAGAAGAGAGGCGCGTCATAGGGCTGCGACCCGAACAGGAGGCCGCGCACGGGCTGGGCGTGCAGCTGCTTCTTACCCAGGTACGCCCAGCGGTGCCCGGTGAGCCAGCGGTACGCTGAGACGAAGTTGGCGGCGTCCTACAGCAGAGGACACGTTTTGGCGCCGACTGTACCCTGCCAGCGATACCCCGCGCCCGGAGCCTCCGCGGGGTATTGCTGGAGCGACGCGGACGCGGGGTAGCGACCGCGCCCCACTCACGGAGTGCGCCAGGAACATGTTGTCCGGGGAGAAGCAGAGGTGGTGGATCGCGGCGCGGGTCTTGTGGAAGGGGTGCGTCGTGACGGGGTGCAGGGCGGCGGGGTGCAGCAGGTGCAGGGTGCCGTTGGCGCAGCCGCACGCCAGCACCGTCCCTGCTCACACCGCGTGGCGCTATTTTACTCGTAGACGCCCGATGAGTTTGCGACCCTTGCCGTCGTCGGGCCTCACCGTTCGGCGAGAAGCTCAGCGACGTGACGGAGACGGGGTCGGCCCCCGGCTTGCGGTCGAACGTGAACGTGATCATGACCTCCTTCTTGACGTAGTCGATGAGCGACACGGAGCCGTTGGCGCGTCCCAGGAGCAGCGCGGGCCTGCGCGCCGAGGAGGTGGGCAACCCATCGTGCGCGCGAGCGTGGCGGGCCTCGGCGTCCCTTACCTCTCCGGGTGCGTCTGTATGACGGTGACGGCGTCCTGGTGGTCCTGCAGCACCACGCACCGCTGGTGCACGAAGGACACGAGGACGAGCCGGCCGCCGGCCGTGCCTGTGTTGCGCAGTGAGTAAGAACCATTGAAACGTGATTTACCACGGCGACGTCCTCTGGCGTTCTGCCCGCGATGCGATGCTGCTTGTGTAAACAAGATCGTGTTGAGTTTGTTCCCTTTTGCAGCGCGTCGCAGTATTACACGAGGTGATGGACTCGTTGAGCCGCGCGGGGAGCCGTGACGTGACCGGCGGGCGACACCGGGGGCTTTAGCGAGTCACGAACCCGCGGCCCCGCCGGCCCCCGGGAGAGGCGCTTGCCTCGGGTGTCACGCCCGCGCCAGCCAGCGCCAGCCAGCGCCAGCCAGCGCCAGCCAGCGCCAGCTATAGCGCGCATTTTGCTCGTCCCCCGCTCAAGCCCAAATCACTCCCCGAAGTTGGGGTCGAAGGGTCGAAGTCAGTTTCCGTCTCAGTCGGAGCGCGGAGCGGAGCTCTATCACCCACCAGGTGATTGTCGTGGACCAGCCCCTCCCGCCCCCGCCCCCGCGGCACTCACTCACGAGGAGGTCGCGCACTCTGAAGGGGTCCTCGCCATCCAGCTGCCGCGGCGACGGCCCGCTAATCAGCCGCGATAAGTCGAGCCGCGCCTGAACGCCGCGCCGCTCCGCGTCCACGCTGTGGCGCACTGCGAGGAGCAGAGAAGTAGCAGCAGAGCTGAAGCAGAGCAGCCGGCTGGAGCTGAGCGGGCAGTGAGCGGGAGGAATCCGAGACGAGAGGTAGGCGCACCCGCGGGGAAGGAGGAACGGCTGGCCGCCCACGCCAGGTCGCCGCCGTCGGGCCCCGGTGACGGGTCCAGGCTGAAGCTGAGGCCCGTGACGGCGTCTAGCGCCGCCTGCTGGTACCAGTGCAGCAGGCACATGTCCTGGTCGTAGAAGCGGATGTGGCCGCGCCGTGTGCCGATCACCACCATGCTGCAGGGGGAGGCGGCGGCGTCAGGCCTGCTGAGAGAGTGCGCCTGGTGCGCCGCCGGGGCGTCCCTCGCGCGCACCTACCCGTCCACCTCGGCGAGCGCCGTCAGCCCGTCCTTGTCGATGCAGTACACCCGCCGACTCACCTTGGTGCTCGGGGCGTAGATCGGGGGGTCCGACCAAAGGACGACGAACCCTGCGCAGGGAAACGGGGGTGTCGTTTGGCGGGCCGGTTGGGCTAGTTACACCACTAGCAGAACACGGCAGCGCACCCTTGTCTGACACGGAGATGGCGTTGGTGGTGCCGCGGAGGTACACCGAGTCCAGCAGCCTGCCGGGGCACCTGGTGACGAGCTGGCCCGGCTGCACCTGGGGGCCGCCGCCGGCGCTGCCCCAACACATGAAGGCCACGTTCCTGTCGCACGTCACCATGAAGCAGCCGGGCACGTCCTGGTTGAAGGTGACGGCGTTGGCCTCGCCCAGGTGCTCGGGTAGCTCTGCGACGGCGCCCCTGTCGTCCCTCCTGTGCCATAGCTGCAGCAGCCGCCCGGCCCCCGCCAACACGAGGTCGCCGTCGGGGCTCATGGACACCAAGCTGTAGCCCTGCGGGGGCGGCTCCCCTGGCAGAAGGCGGCTTAACGACCTAGAGATGGTGAAGGTGACGATTCACCTGTCATCGGCATCTATGTCATGTCCGAGCTTCCGACAACCGCCGCCACCACCACCAGCCTCACGAGGAGCTCAGGTCCCACACGATGACGGCGCTGGACTCCAGCTTGCCGCCGCCATCCACCGACACCAGCCAGGACCCGGAGGAGTCCGTGGCCATCGCCACCACGTTATTTTTCTAAAGAAAATCGCCGCCGTCAGCGGTCCGTTCTCTGGAACAATGAACCCTCGTTCCATTGGTACTCACGTGTCCGAGTAGCAAGCGCTGGCTGTGGGACTTGTAGTCGTACAAGACGATGGCGTGGGCGCTGGAGTACGCCAGCAGGCCCTTTCCGTCGACGGACAGGTTGAGGGCGCGGCCGCCGGGTCGACTGCCGAAGGCCCACTCTGCAAACTATTTGCAGCATATAGCCTTCATCAGCATGACCTGCAGGGGGAGCGACGAGCAGCTTGCGGCAGCGCACAGGGGGGACGTACGAAGGGGACGACGACGGGGTGGCTCTCCTCATCGTCGTAGTTGATCTCGATGGCGCTGCCGCACGCCGACGTGTGGATCTGCTCGTCCGAGACCCGCGTCTGCGCGCCCGTTGCCTCGAGTACATTCGACATGATTTCCAGGCGCTGCTTTGCAGTTGGCAGAGCAACTTCCGTTTCAGTCTGCACATGTGTGTTTGTTTTCCAGCCGGTCAATAATTCCGGTAAAGTTGAAAGTTGCCGCCATGGCCGACCAAAGCCTACTAGACTTCTTGTCCTTGCTAGTCCTCCGGGCAAGTCCCAGTACAGTCGCGCAACGTCTTTTCACATGTTCTGGGTTCTGGGCCGCTTTAGATACATTTTCAAGATGAAATCGGCAACGAACGGACAAAAAGAGAGCTGAATACACCCACGCTGACTTTTCCTTTTCGTTTATCTTTGAGAGCTTATCTCTAGCAGGAAATCTGTGGACGAACGCTATTGGCGGACTTTCAGCCAATAGGTTTTGCACAACGAACGGTTCGGTTCGAGGGCTGTGACTGTACTTTCGTTGCGTTTACGTGGTGTCTGGTAAGTTGTGGGTACTTTTTCACGTATTTGGCTGAAACATACTTTTGATACTCGCCGTCCACTGTTCCATTTTTGTGTTTGGATATCGACGTGCTCCTCTTTCGATTTCTGAACCAGTGTCTTCGAAAGTTTAAGCTAGTGGGTTGAGCCTGCATTTCGAATGTAGGTTTGTCAGTAGGCTGTCTGCTCCGCAATTTATTTGTAAACAAGTATTTGTTTTGGTTCCGTGCCAACTGACGGACGGTGGTTTCGTGCAGTGTTGAGTCTTATTACTTGCATATGGTCTGCTTTGTTTAGGGGATTGCCAGTATTTATTCTTCAAACTATGGGTAACATCAGGTTAATTGCAGTTACATATTTTGTCACTGCCCTGGACTAATCTGTGTCACCGATTGTGATGCAGATAGCCAAACCACATTTGAACTGTTTATATAAATTTATTTGAGGAGTTCTGCTTTGGTTGTTATTGAGTAACCTTGTGATAATTATGGAACCCTGACATTGTCTATGTGTAGTGGAGAGAAAGTAAGAGAGGTTATAATTCACAAACCAATTTACTTACATATGCTTTTGCAATCCTCCCAACAAGTAGGGCCTTCTGTCTATCTTATCTAATAGTTCAAAATTTTAAGTTATTACTTTGTCTATTGCAGGTGCAGTGGGTACTGAGACACTTGTCATCATGGCTGACGAAGGAATGGATCCATGCGAGTGCATTTGGCCTCAGGAAATGGCAATGCGACGATTGCTATCTTTTGTAAGTTTGCTGAATTTCATATATTCCCATGCTCACCCTACTGCTTAATAAACCATAATTTACTCCGTCAAACTATGATTATAATTACGACTATGAATATTTTGCAGCTACGACAGTCACAGACCCACTGCACAGATGTTGATTGTGTTGATGAATGTAAGTCTTAACATGACCTCTTTAAAATTAATTAGTT